CACAGCTTGATATTTAAGAATCAATTTGCCAGTTTTCTCTCTGCTGTTTTTCTTAACTTCCCCCTCACCTCAACCCTCCTTCCATAATCCCCTTTGATTGGGACTTAAGGTTACAATAGATTCCTCTGCAGAAGGTCTTTTGGTAACATGTTCATGGGCAAACCTCAAGTGAGGGAAATTATTTGTATAAGATTATACAGTTAGTAGCAAAGGTGGCTAAGACCCAAACCTTCTGAATGCTCAGCTAAACTTTCTCCCTAGCCTTGGTGTTCCCCACCAACCTGATAGTTAGCACACCCCTGGGGCAAAATGGCAAAAGATGTGCCTCTCCCATGGAAGGGTTGAGGGAGAAGGAACAGGCAAAGTTCACTCCATTTGCCCTTCTCATGAGAATTTTACTTTCAGTGGACTCTCTAGCTCTGTCCTCTTAGTAACCTGATAAGGGAGTGTGTGTCACCTGTTACTAAGCAACTTTAACTACTTAAAGTAAAAATGACCCCTGATTGGTAAATTGCATCTGGACTGGGAGGATTATAAACTATGATTAATACCTAATAGGGAACTGTAGCTTCAAGTTTCTGTGAGTGTGTTGACTTTTGTAACTGGGCAAATCCATTGTGGGGACCGTGGAAGCTATGCCTTGGAATTATTACAACAGATTCTGGCCCCTGGGGTATGAGGCTTTCAATCCAGGGCAGCTCCTGTACCCACTCAATGTGAATGTCTTTTCCTTGTACCTGAGCTCTGTAACCTGGGGGCTAAGAAAATAGCTATGTGTTCTGTGTGTATATGGCAAGGGCTCCTACAGGAAGAGAAATGTCTGAGGTTCCCCTGCTGGAAGCTGTGTTTCCTGTCTTATATCTTTCTAAGTGGATTATGCCAAATATGGCCTATGTTAGTCTCGTGAGTGTGAATATTTAGCTGAGCCTAAGACCAAGCCCTGGTGAGCATTACAGAAGGCGTCTGGGCTAGAGTTGGGCAGACTCTGTGTCTTGTGCTGTGCTTACCACCAGCACAATGCATTCTAATTCTGTAAGGACAAGCTTTTTTAATAATGCTGACACAGTCTGTAGCTTTATTTATGATGGGGTACAATCCCTGCTAAAAGAACCCATACAAATAATCTGGAGTCCCATTTTCTGGATCACAAGAATGCAACTGCTGTAATTATCTACTCTAATTTTCTGATAATTTTGATAGTAGATGCTACAACCTAGATGAAATGTGCCAATTTCAAGTACTTCATTTTCTCAAACAATAAACAATCTTTTTGCATTTTCACAATGCTGCTTTTTCTCCTCTCTCTCTGCTTCCTTCCAGATGGAAAATTAAACTCACCTTAGCTGTTTTCCTCATTGTGAGTTTCTTTCCCAGATAAGATGTCAGCGTCTGAGACCTCTTCTTGCTGTTGCTCAGTTACTCTCTTTTGGAGCATGGCTTCCGTGTGCCTATGGATGATCTGATGGGCTGCAATAATATGTTTCCGCTGTGCGTGCCTCACTGTGCCAAAGTGACAGAAGAATTTTTATTCCGAAAGTCTGAATGAAACCATTCCCAAATGTTTTCAAGAGGGTACTGATAGGAATGACAATTTTGCAAACTCCATTATTTTCTGACTTAGGACTGATTGGGTTAAATAAAAGTTACCTGTTCTCTTCTTTAGAAGGACACCTCCTAGAGGCAAACCAAACCCAAGTCTTACTTCTTGCTGCTCCCTCTGTTCCCACTTTTTAGTTCCGCCCATCACTGCTCCCTACCAGGCTGGCTTCCAGCCCCCTCCTCAGCAGCTGCCCGGCCTGCAGTGCCTGCACTCCAATTCCTACCCTTGTTACAAAGCCCAGCTCAAGTCCCAGCTCCTCCAGGAAGCTCCTCCTCTGATTCTGTCAACCCATATTTACCTCTTAAGGACACTTGTGTTTGTACCAACCCATTCAGCATTAAAGCATTCATGTGAGTTATATTTTGTTTTCTACCTAGATTGTAAATGACTAAAAAATAAAGGCCTTGTCTCATACTTCCAATACGGAGGGCACTTGTTGATGGATGATGAGTTTCTGAGCTCATGGCTTTAGAATGCGGCCCTAGCTCCAAATTCTAAGAATATTATTGAGGCTTAGTAAAGAAAATACTTAGTAAAGAAAATACTAAGCATCTAAGCCCTATGGAAAAGAGTGATGATAATGATGATGATGATGATGATGATGATGATGTTAGCAGTTAGCATTTATCCTTGCTTTGTGCCAGGCACTGTTTTAAACAGTTGATGTATAATTATTCATTTAATCCTCCTACAATCCTAAAATAGAGTATTATTAATATCCTCATTTGCAGAAGAAGAAACATAGACACAGAGAGGTTGCATAATTTACCCAAAGCCATACAGCTAGTAAAGGACAGTAAGAGGTACTGTGGGTTCTTTGCTATTCCCTATCAGCTAGTGTACACAGGGTAATTCACACAGCAGCTGTTAGCACTTCACAGCAGTATGGCTGAAACAGTGCAGGCTTTGGATATTTTCAAGTTTGCAAGTTGTGTCCAAGCACTAATTTCCTTAACTGAAAAATGAGAATACACTTACAGCTGTTGTAAGAAATCACGATAATGTACATTTTAAAATGCTTAGTGCACTGATTGGGATTTAGCATGCATTTAAAATTTGGCAGTTACTGTTATCGTATATCCATAGACAGGCCTTTT